AGACTGTACTGTTTGTATGTATGAATGCATGAAAAATCTTTTGGCATACAGACTGTCACAGCTCAATGGACATTATTTATTTACTGTATTGGCTTCCGCCAGGCCCTGAACTCTGTTTTAGTGTACTACTGTTAAGCAGGCCTTCGGTAATCTCGGATTGCTGGCCGGTTACGGTGCTAAACCCATAGGGCCGGGTTTGGGTCGTGACAGTGAGTCAAATATACAATCTCCTAAAGGTTAAAACAAGAGATGAATCAACATATCTACGTACCTGATTGTCCTTCACAGTAAAATAGTGTCCAGTGCGCTCTAGATGAGCCACCTGCGTGAAATATCCAGCTAGCATAACTTTTCTGATGTTGATGTAGTAGTCACGACTGTTAAAATCTGTACTGCATTGCTTGAGGTTGAACCTAACCATGATCCGAACTAGCTGTTGTCTCACATTATCAGCAGCTTTCAATGCCCTTTGGTTGACAAAGTTTTCGTAACACCAAGATGGATCCTCGTCTAAAACCCATTCACATGTAAGCAGGATAAAAAATGCATACACCATTAATAAAAGCCTCTCTGATTCTCAAAGCAAAAGGCAAGAAATAGAGAATGTAGTTAGATACTTACTATTTTGCTTGTATGCATGGTATACATTCAAGGGTGTAAGGTGATCCCCATCAATGAGCCCAAACCGTGCCTTTGTTTCATCTGCTGCTTTTTAAGCCTCCTTAGGCCAGATAAAGCAATTGGGTACTAAAGAAAAAATTGGTTATCACAGAGGAGGCCCACGGTAGGTTAGCAGATGCATAGAGGCGAGACGACACCATGTGCTTCATGAGAGAATACTGAAAAACTGCAACTATCTGCATCAGCACTTAGAAATTCTATGGTGCATGCCAACAGGGGGCATGGAACCCAGACAAGACAGTTGCTGAAGACAACCTAAGTGGACACACATTTAACTGCATGCAGATGTACACCATGTACAAAAAATGCAATTAAACACGTAACATCATATGCCTAGATACATGTCTATGCACATGATACAAAATGGGCACGCATTCACAAATAATGAAGCAACATTCTCAGCCCATCGTGGTCTACGTCAACTTAGACCCACAATTAGACTCACAGACACAAAGAAAGCCAGGTAACAGACAACAAACCTGAAAGCATGGTAGAAATAGACAGAATCTCATTTGAATAGTTAAATTCCTGGCTAAAAACAAGCATCTTTGACATCTGCGGATCCAAGGGGAACTCACTCATGATCTCACCCAGCTTGGTCAAGTTGCCTTCATCATCCAACGCTCCCAAGTAATTCAAAACCTCTAATGAGCGCATCAATGTCTCTTGGGCAGGAGGATCCATAAAATCAAAATGGACCAGATCATCTATTCCTAGTTTCTTCAAGGTGAGAACTGTGTTTGCAAGGTTTGATCGCAGTATTTCTGGGTATGTCTGTGGCTGAAGATCATTATTGAAACTTTTCTCAGTGTAGAGTCTAAAACATTTTCCTGGTTGCGTTCTTCCAGCACGACCTGATCTTTGGTGAGCACTAGCCTTTGATATCGGAGAGACCAACAAAGATTCAACACATATTCGAGGGTTATAGACCATTTGTTTTGCAAACCCAGGGTTTATCACATAAACTATACCATCTATGGTCAAAGAGGTTTCTGCAATGTTTGTTGAGACTACAATCTTCCTCCCAGGAGGGCCGCCCACAGTCAGGGGGGTAGGAGCAGGTTCAAATATCTTCTGCTGCATAGCAGGAGGAAGCGTAGAATACAGCGGCACTGCTTTCACAGGCCCGCAGGCATCTCCCATATTTCCAATTTCTTTTGTCATTTTCCTACATACATCTTCTATCTCCTCCTCTCTAGTAAGAAATACGTTTGTCATTTTCTTTGTTATGATGCAGAGAAAGGGCAAAGTATAATGATAACTATTGAGAGATATAATAATGATAGGGTAGTTTGTTTTGATATGTATGAAATACGATTTAAAGAGAGATCATTTTTGCCTATTTTTGCTTTTTCCAATTTCCTTTATAACATTATTTTTATTTTTATCTGATATATACATTGTATATAAAAAAAATGAGGCCCCCTTTTATGCAGGGCCTTGGGTGAGCAGTGAGCACCAAAGTTGCCCAATGGTCAAGCCAAGGGTTGCTTGAATCACCCGTGACTCAAATCCGCACCTACACCAATAACAAGCCTTTATAGTTAGGCCAAGCCGCCTACATACCCTAAAAGTTATCATATGAGACTAAATTTGGAACATAATGACCCCAGGTCCACACACAACAACAAAAACATAAAGAAAACAAGACCAACAAAAATTTGAACAAAGTTTTTTTAAAATTCCACCAATGCAAATTGGGTGTTAGTAGCATACAAAATTAGAAAACATGAAACCAAAAACCAAAGATTCATAAATGTTTACTTACCTCATTGGCATTCATGTTGCTTTGAGTCCCAATGCCAGTCTGCCACACCACAAGTGGAAAATGGTCATTAAGCTTTCCTTCAGCCACCTCTTGGGCTACTTGCATTGTTGCCTTCCCTATGGACGGGTCAAGACCATATTCTATGTTGACCTGCAGTAGAGTATAGTACATACATACAAGTCAAATTAGTAAGAGAAAACACATTAAAAAAAATAAAATAACATAACCCACACCATACCATAAATAATTTTCTGAAATGGAATGGAATTTTTGAATAATTAGTTTAGAAGAAAACATCCAAATAAGAATATGGAATTTGTGAAATGGAATGGAATTAGAAACCCACACCATACCATAAAAAAATAATTTCTAAAATGGAATTTGTGAACTGAATTCCAATATTTATTGGAAGCAGAGCATAACCATCTATGCATTCTCTTCTGTGAATAGAGCTCTCTGTGTAAGCGACTCGTTTCAGTCCCTAAGCCCACCCCAACTCTCTCTCTCTCTTTCTCTCTCAAACGACAATGTATTGGAAATGGTTGTTTTTGGTTTTTTTTGCCCTCCTGTCACTCATCACTGACCTGTCGATGTGGGTATTGTTGTTGGGGGGGTCCTCCATCATTTCTGCTCTCGAAGTCATAAGCCTACCCCAACTCTCTCTCTCTCTCTCTCTCTCAAACGACAATGTATTGGAAATGGTTGTTTTTGGTTTTTATTGCCCTCCTGTCACTCATCACTGACCTGTGTATGTGGGTATTGTTGTTGGGGGGATCCTCTATCATTTCTGCTCTCGAAGTCACAGCAATAGTGCTGTTTTCAAACCGCGACAATGGCGAACCAAACGTCGAGTCTGATTCTTTCTTCTCAACTGAGTCTGCCTCGTTCGAGTTGGAATCTTCTTCTGGGTCCTCACCGAGCGGTATGAGTTGCATTACGATGGAATCTTCTTCTGGGTCCTCATGGAGGAGATGAAGAAGAAGACCACTGCTCGGATGTTAGGATTAGCGTTTGCGTTTTTTGGGTTGTAATTTAAGCTCTGTATAGTAGATAGAGAAGCTTTTGGGTTCTTTAGCTATGTAATTTAAGCTCTGTATAGTAGATACAGAAGCTTTTGGGTTCTTTAGCTATGTAATTTTTTATTTTTATTTTTTTTACTATGTAATTTAAGCTCTGTAATTTAAGCTCTTTAGTATAAATAGTATATTTATTTAAATTATTTTAAAAAATCTCACTATTCAATTTCTTATATGAATAAATTAGTAAATTAGTGTTGATAACAGTTTAGATGATAGTAAAAAATAAATTATTATTGGGTTTTTCATAAATATTAAATTTTTTAAGTGTATTTATGTTAAGTGTATATAAATTGGGTTTTTCATAAATATTAAATTTTTTAAGTGTATTTATGTTAAGTGTATATAAAAATTTAAAAAAATTACTTAAAATATTAAAAACAAAATAGAAAAATACGAAACAAAAAATTTCAACTTTCTAAAAAGTGAATTTAAAAAACTCAATTGGGTGAAAGAAAGGGTCAATGTCCCAAATTCATATCAATTTGTTTTAGGATGGACCAGCCTATCTATTGAGATCTAAGCCCTATAATAATTCTATAAATGCAGTTGAGCTTTTAAGTTTATCAGTTCTTGAGAAATGTTATAGATTTATAATTTTAAATTTATAAATTTACTCATAATAATGTGGTGTGTGATAAATTAAAATTTGACACATCATATTATATTATTGTGATCAAATTAAAATAAGTTTTTAAACATTTTTTTTAAATAAAAAAAAAAAATTTTGAACATAGCTAGCATAAATGTGGAGTATCTGAAGTGTCTTGGAAAACCAGTAATTGACTTGATTTATATTGTGTTTAGAAGAAAAAAAGAAAAGCAGCAAATGAAGCACAAGAAATTGAAGTAAACTTTTAAACATGAATAAAGAAGATTTTTTAAAAATTAGTCCCATTAATACATTTTGTAAATTATTGGTAATTCATATATATTCTATATTTCCTCGAACGTTTTAGAATTTTGGAAGCTGAAATTTTAGAATTTTTGCAATCATAAATTAAATTAATGAATTTTTTCATTTTAAAAATAGATCCTACTAACTACCCCTCAACCCCTCAAATTGGTTAAGGTTCAAATAATATCAAAAATATTAAAATTAAAATTTAATATATATTTTACATAACTCCATACATTTTTATGTATTTATATATATACTCACATCATTTTAATGACAAATGCTAACAAAAGCATTGTTTAATATTAAATTTGTGTAAAAAAAATGCTTCAAGAAATAGTGAAAAAGTTAAAATAAATTTTTAATTCAATAAAAGTATTTTGAAATTAGTAAAAAAATATCTAGTTTTTTTTTTTTTTTCTTTTCCTTCCAAGTCTAATAAAACCCACACGTGAAAAAGTTATTTGAAATTTAAAAAAGAAAATTCATTCAAGACAAAAACCAACGAAAGATCAAAATTTTGCTTCTTTTTATATATTTATTTATTTATTTATTTTTTACCAAACCCAACCTTAAAATGCCAATTTATCTGTTTTATATCCACAAACCAAACACCGCTGAAGGAAGGGTGGTTTCAAATCCATGTGGCCCAGTTGCTGAAGGGGGTTATTATACAAATGTGAACACAAGTATTCTTTGAGGTCTGAATCAGATTCTACAAGCACACACCACTTCTATAAAATTTATATCCGGCAAAAAGCAAAAAGATACATAGTAAATAGTGATATGGTTCGGAATTCTATTCAATCAAGCAGAAAAATCATGCCGTTGATGGTCTTGGTGGAGGCAACGATATTGGGGATGTCAAGGGTGGTGGTACTGGAGGCAGTAAGGGAGTTGGCGTAAGTAGAGGTGGTGATGAAGGCGGAGGTGGCAGTGTTGGGGGTGGCAAGGGAGGTAGGGAAGGTGTCGGTGTAAGTGGAGGTGGTAGTGCTGGAAGTGGGAAGGGAGGTGGTGTAGGCAGAGGTGGCGGTGTTGGGTGCGGCAAGGGAGGTGGTTAAGGTGGAGGTGTTGGGGGCGGCAAGGGAGGGGGTCAAGGTGGATGTGGTGGTGTGTAGGTGGAGGTGGTGGTAAGGGAGGTGATTGTGAAGGTGGTGGCATAGGCGGAGGTGAAGGTGAAGGCAAGGGAGGTGGTGGTTAAGGTGGAGGTGGCAGTGTTGGGAGTGGCAAAGGAGGTGGTGAAGGTGGAGGTGGTAGTACTGGGAGTGGCAAGGGAGGTGGTGTAGGTGAAGGTGGTAGTGTAGGCGAAGGTGGCTGTGAAGGTGGCGGCAAGGGAGGTGGTGTGGTGGAGGAGGTGGTGTAGGCGGAGGTGGTGTAGGTGGAGGTGGCAGTGGAGGCGGAGGTGGTGGCGGTGGCGGTAAGGAAGGTGGTGGCGTTGGCAGAAGCAGTGTAGGTGGCGGCGGCAAGGGAGGTGGTGGTGTAGGCAGAGGTGGCGGTGCTGGGAGTGGAAAAGGAGGCGGTGGTGCTGGAGGTGGCAAGGAGGTGGAGGAGGCGGTATTGGGGGTGGTGAAGGTGGTGCTGTAGGCAGAGGCGGCGGTATTGACGGTGGCAAAGGTGGCGGTAGTAGAGGTTGTAAAGGTGGTGGCAAAGGAGAAGGTGATGGTGGTGGAGCAAAAAGTGACGGAAAATGTGATAGTGGAGGCGCAGGGCTATTATCATAAAAATATGAAACAAGTGTTATCTTATATTATTGTGTATGTAGTTATGTACTCTAAATAAGTCAGTCAAATAATGCATCATTGGAGCATATTTCCAAATTGCGAATAATCCCATTGTATCTTTTTTTTCCTTTTATTATTTTATTTTAAGCCCCTAGGAGTCTTCCCTTTTTTTTATCTTTGTTTTTTTTTAAACATAGCCCCAAGAGCTTGAGCTTATTATGTAAAGTATGTTTTTTTTTTTATTTTTTTTATTTATTTTGTCAAAGATAGCATTAATATATTAATATAGTTAAATTACAACTAAAAAGTTCACCACTGTTCCATTAACTTAACCTCCCATTTATCACACCCTAAGATGGGCTACTAATCCATTGGGATGGCTTTAAATTTCACTTGTTTCAAGAGTAATTTGAACAATTGATTTGGCTGGGCTTCATGGAACACCTATTTTTAGGGGGGAAAAAAAATGAGTAAATTAAATTAATGACCTCGTTAAATTCACCTTCATATAAATTAGAAGGTGACTAGGTGTGTACTTTAAAATGAAAAATGCTATGAACTCCAAATAATATATCAAATTTTTTAACAAATATTTCATATGGGTGTAGGATCCACACAAACTCACGTGTGTGAATCCCACACTCATATAAGAGGTTTGATAAAACATTTGGTAAATTATTTAGAATTCCTAACATTACTCCTTTAAAATTAATAGTTCAACTATATAAATCATAAAACTGACAAATAAACAAACAAAATCATCAACAAAAAAAAATATTGGTAGAAAAAAGTGACTATGAAAGACTCTTGTAAGAATTATCAAAAAAAGATTTTCCAATTGATCAATTTTGCACTTAATTTGTTAATGTTATTTCAATTTGGTTCAATTGATCATGTCCGTTAAAATTTTGAGAAAAATTAAAGACAAAATGATCTATTCACCTTTCCCTCTTCCACAAACCACCTCACTATGGATTTTACCGATTTCTTAACAAGTGTTCTTAATTGGAATAAATTGATGCAATATAATCAAAATTATATGACCCAAATTAATACAAGAGAGAAATTATATTCATGATTAGTCTTTAGTCTCTTGAGTCATCCACAATTCAGCTTCAAGACTGATTTTTGTAGAAGTTTCAATGATGGGGAACACAACTTTGAGACTCTGAATTCTGGATTAGGAGTTTAATGTGCTTCATTGCCGTTTTAGATTTGGGAAGAGATAAGGATATGATGTTTTAGTTGAAATTATTTATACCAAGAACATGTTTACACATGCATCTATAGCAATTTCCCTATTTGGCTAGTTTATAAGAGCTCGTTGAAACGGAAGAGATAAAAGAAACGGAAGAGATAAAAGAGACGATGTTTTAGTTAAAAGCATTTATACCAAGATCATGTTTACGCATGCATAAATTTTCTTATTTGGTTAGTTTATAAGAGCTCTTTTTTTCTTAAAGAAAGTGTCAAAGGGATACTTTTATCTTCGATCTTATTATCAATTTTCCGGTTACAAAAATAAAAAATAAAAAACTACACCCAACATGGACAATATCTCATTTATGTATGCATTTACAGTCTTGTTTATGCATGCAGTCATACCAAGATCTTGTTTACCCCTATAAGTACCAGAATCGATTGCTTGTATTAAGCAAAGTTTTTCCTAAGCTCTGTTCCTCTCTTTTCCTCTTAGTAAAAGATGAGGAAGTTTTTAAAGAATGTTGGAATGTTTACTGTAATGGTGTTGGTAGCTTTGTTTGTGGTGGGAGTAACCGAAGGACAAAGGTTTGAGGAAGAGACTAATGGTGGCAGTGATGAGGATGGCAAGGCAGGCGGTGATATTGGGGTTGGTGAAGGCACCAAGGCAAACAATGTTGGTGGAAGAGGTGGTAATGGGGATGTTGAAGGTGGTGGTAGCGATGCTAGGGTGGGCAAAGATGGTGCCATGCCAGGTGATGGTGCTGGAGGTGAAAAACTTGGATTTGGAGGTGGTCATGGATGGGGGAGGTGGCCATGCCGGCGGTGGCGGCTATGGAGGTGGAGGGGGCCATGGTGGTTGTGTTTCTAGGGGCTGCGGTGGAGGTGTAGGGGGAGAAGGTGGCGCTGGCAAAGGTGGAGGTAGCAAAGAGGTGGCAATTGCAAAGAAGGTGGTGGAGTTGAAATAGGTGGAGGTCGTGGTGGTGCTGGGGGTGCCCCAGGTGGAGGTGGCAAAGGTGGAGGTAGTGGAGAAGGTGGCAATGGTGGAGGAAGAATAGGTGGAGGTCATGGGGGCGCCCCAAGTGGAGGTGGCCACGGTGGCGGTGGCAAGGGTTGTGATGACAAAGGTAAAAGGGGTTGTGAAGGTAGTGGTACTGAGGGTGGGGAAGGTGGAGGTGGTGGTCCTAGGGGTGGCAAGGGTGGTCATGTGGCAGGGGAATGGTAATAGACAGAGATGGAGGACGTCACATGCATGGGGCCTATCATAAGCATGAAAAGGTGTACGATTTACTAAGTACCAAGTTAATGAAATAATGCAACAAAAATTATATGTTATATCCCAGCTATATATCTTCTGAATACTATTAAAAAATTGTGATCATTGTTCAAGCTTATTATGTTTCTGCTCGAAATTATGCAGTTTCCTTGTTCTGTATCTTTTTATATTTTTTTTTCCCCAGATCCATTAATTATAGCAATACTTAATTTTCCACCACATATGCAAACAGTGTATGGTGGGTTTTTCATTTTTGGCAATGATTTGAAACATTGAACATGGTCATTTCAAATTGTTTTGGAATCTGTTCATGCAATCATGAGCACTGTATTAGAGACTTTATTTATTTATAGCTACTTCAATTTCCATACTCACAATTTTGGTTTCAAAGTTCAAACATTAAGTACTCATAACAAGAAGGGAATAAAATGAAGATATATAATCTTTTATTAAACAACCCCACACCACACCAAAAAGAAAAAAGAACAAGAAAAAAAAGCACCTATTTTTTCTTTTCTTTTTTCAAAATTCCATTTGAAATTGGAATGAAATAAAATGTTAATATTAAAGGAACAAAAATTCAAGGCAATCTTTGTTGCTTCCCCCGCCAACCCCAGCACAAGAAAGGAAAAAAACCAAGTTAGAACTTATTTCCTACTGTCTTTTTTCAACCAAAAAGCATAAAGGCATATAATTGTAAGAACATAAAATTAAAATGAATATCTATGGAGAGAAATAAGAATAACAATACATATATTCTGCTCACCTGTGCCTATTAGGTGTGTGTCTCTGCACCTGCTGTTTTTCTTTTTCACCCGTACAATTTGTCTGCATGCATCAGCCACCTGTGGCTCCTAGGCAAATTATCAAACCACAGCTTTTCTTTTATAAGAAATAATCTATTTAATAAAACAGATTAGTTTTTTTAAAAATGTACTATGTGGCATAGTTGAGAAGGGTTAAGATTTAATAAATCTAAGAGTTAGTGCTATGTCTCAAATAATGAAGTGCCTTCATGCCCGGAGAAATTTCACTAGTCCTTGAAACATGACAAAGATGTTGCAACCTGCAGACCAATGAATGTTTAACACACTAACATTTCAAAGATTTCACTCATTCAGTTGTCACTGTGCTCGTGAACTCCATTTCCACTACAAAGACTCATCTTGTGAAATATCGGAATTGATTCATTTTTGAGTTATTTCACCAATTATTAATCTAGATTCCAGAGTTTCTACCCATGTTTGATGAACAAAGCTCACAGGATTCTTACTCCTTACAAGGGTTGATCATTTCTTTGTCCAGTACACTATTATTTGATTCAGTCTAATTAGTTGGGAGATTCCTCTTTAATTCCCTTTCACCTAATTCAGAAGACTTTATTGAGTTTGAGGAACATATGAGTTTGTCTTTACAATTCATGTAGGAGTTTGGTTGAGCTTGTATCTCGATTAGGTGTACTGCCAGAAAAATGTCCTATGTGGCGCAGTTAAGAAGGGTTAAGATCATAAGCATGAAAAGGTGTACGATTTACTAAGTACCAAGTTAATGAAATAATGCAACAAAAATTATATGTTATATCCCAGCTATATATCTTCTGAATACTATTAAAAAATTGTGATCATTGTTCAAGCTTATTATGTTTCTGCTCGAAATTATGCAGTTAAGAAGGGTTAAGATTGCGCCACATAGGACATTTTTCAATCTTAACCCTTCTTAACTGCGCCACATAGGACATTTTCTGGTAGTACACCTAATCGAGATACAAGCTCAACCAAACTCCTATATGAATTGTAAAGACCAAACTCATATGTTCCTCAAACTCAATAAAGTCTTCTGAATTAGGGGAAAGGGAATTAAAGAGGAATCTCCCAACTAATTAGACTGAATCAAATAATAGTGTACTGGACAAAGAAATGATCAACCCTTGTAAGGAGTAAGAATCCTGTGAGCTTTGTTCATCAAATGGGTAGAAACTCTGGAATCTAGATTAATAATTGGTGAAATAACTCAAAAATAAATCAATTCCGATATTTCACAAGATGAGTCTCTGTAGTGGAAATGGAGTTCACGAGCACGGTGACAACTGAATGAGACCGAAAAAATGACAATTTTGGTGGCATTATTACCTAGGTGAGAAATTAATCTAAATTTTGGTGGCATTTTGTTGGAGTTTTCCAAATGTTTCATGTGGAATCAGTAACTTCAAGTTCATCATCAGGCATGAGTTTTCTATGAGGAAGTGTAGAAGTCATCTCAAAAAGTTCAATGACAGAAGGCATAGATGTAGTCCCGAATCCTTCAATATTTAATCTGGATGAGATTTCTATATATAAGGAAAATTAAGCTACATTGTCAAGGTTGTACAACCTACATTGTGAAGAATAACAATTTACAACAAGAAGAAGAAAAAGCTCACCAGAAATGGATGACACAAAGTGATGAATACCAGCAGCGAAAGATGACTGAATACAGACCCAACACAGCATCCAAATCAATCCTTCAAAGCAATGAAAATAGCACAAAACCAGTCTTCGAACAAAGGCTAGAGTGGTCAAAAAAAAGATTTAACAATACGAGTCTTTTCTTTGACATGTATGGTCTGGCATGGTGTGACCAATACATGCACTAGCCTAAATAACCAAATAGTTAATTTTTGGAACATATTGAAGATATGTGATTATACCCCTAATCCATGAATTTGAACGCTGCAATCACAACCTTAGATTCAAACAATGGTAATTCAAAATCCAAAGTGGTTGGCCAACCACCCTTCTCGGATAAATTCTATTATAACAAACTATGAACTTAATTTTCACTTTTCAGCTTCTCATATAGATCAACAGTCTTCTCTCTCACACATTTCAAAATGGAACCACTCATGTCTTTTAGTTTCCTACTCTAATTTATATATCAAGGCATAATACATATTCCTAAAATTGCAGAGGGCTTGATCAATTCATGCAATTAGATAGTTTGGATGAGAAGAAAGATGAGGAAAGGAAAAGAAAAGAAAAGAAAATCGTGAAACGCGTGGAATCATCCTAAAAGCGTTAAAAGTCTTTGGCTTTTCAACAAATGCTGGATCAGCAGCAGGGTGGAGAGACACATTTACTCCAATCCAAAAATTGAAAATTTTCAAGATCTGAATTTTAATTTTTCTTTTCTTATCCAACAACCAAATGAAATTTGAAACTCAGACAAAACTTAACAAGAACGACCAAAAACTAAAAAATAAAAATTAGGGTGTTTTTTTTTTTAATTTTTTAAAATCAAACCAGATCGAAAGAACTTCGCAACGGCCTCTTCTAAATCAAACACCACGGCGTTAATATCCTCGAAGCCTGAAAATTGGGACAGGACTGAAACAGAGAATGCGTTAAATTAATGGATCCACTCAAATCAATCAATCAGAAGAAGAAGAAGAAGAAACCCTGACGCGAGAGAACAATTTCTTGAGGATGGAAAAGATAGATCACGAGTTTGTGCGTGAATCTAACACCATCAATCCAAATAAAAAATAAAAATAAAATAAAATAATAAAAAAAAGGAATTGAAGAGAGGGTATTGGTGGGTAGGGAAGGAGGGTCCTGTTAAATTCACGCACAAACCTGAAATCTGTCTCTTCTCTTTGTTGCCTTTGTAGCTTCTCTTCTGTAAATATAACTCGGAATATTTCAAGATGAAGATGAGAGAGAAACATGTGGATATGCCAAAGGCAATCCTTGTACCAGTTTTTGGATTTTTGGGCCTCAATTTGGAACCCTAACTTGAAGGCTCAAATTCAACTTACTATTTGAGCTTTGACCCAACCCATATAGGCTGAGGCCTAAAAGTTTGAAGCTGGCCCAAGTTATAAGCCCACTTGAGTCAATTGCAATTTGAATGAATTGTATGCCATAGCATGGGAATTTCTATTTCCACACGCTACTTCCCCTCTTTCCACATCTTTTTTCAATACACACCTGAAATAAATTTAAATTATTAACTTTCACACAATACACATCCTTCCATACCAAAGATACCCTTACCATCTTCATCCTCCAAACCCTAACCCTAACAAGCCACCATTGTTTTTATTTTTTCAAGGTAAACATTTTTTTTTGTTACATCTACGCAAATTGGCAATACCTCTTACAGTTGAAATAAATTGAAATCTACTTAACCATTCAAGAATCAAAATTGTTGCTTTGATTTTTCTTCTTTTAGTTCCAACTATCCATCAACGAGACCATGAGTAAGCATGTTCTCAAGCTTCTCACAACAAGAATTAGGATTACCAAATGTCAAATATTTAGTTATGGCATCATCTGGGTTTTGAAAGGAAGATTCAATTGTATTAAAGGATATGACTAGCAGGAACAAAATAGTGATTGGAGGTGAAAGATTAAAAAAAATTAAATTAAATTAAATTAAAAATGAAAAACTGGCAATGCAATGAAAGGTAAAATTTTTGCAACAGTTTAGATAATTCTTAGAGTGAAATATGTCATGGAATAAATAGAAAACGAAAAGGCAGCTACCAGAATATGTTTGTCAGTTAGAAATGATGAGGCACAAAGTCAGAAAAGAAGAAAGAGAGGTTGAATGAGAAAAATAAAATAATAATAATAATAAATTATGAGATGGATCACAGACTCATAAAGATGGTTTGAGAGAGTTAGAGTTAGGATTTTGGGAAAGGAATATTTTGGTAATTTAATTTTAAGGCAAAAATGTAATAAAAAAAAATCATTAAGTGTGTGGAAAAAGAAGAAATAGTGTGTGGAAATAGAATTTCCCCTATAACATACCTAACATGATTAAAAGAGGGGGGAAATAATGTTCAGACCTAATGACAAGGGAAAATAAAAAATAAAAAAAATTAAACAACAATACTACATTTCTTAATTTATCATTTTTAAATAATTTCTAATGATGTGACATTGAGGAGGTTAGAGTCCACATGA